GGAAAGTTAATATTCCCTGTAGATTTTCTTGTTATTGACATTGGAAACAACCACAATATGCCAATAATCTTGGGTCAACCTTTTTGGCAATGAGTGGAAACTTTATTGACTTGGGGAAGGGTGAGCTGACTGTAAGGATGGAGAAGACACATGAGATCTTTAAATTAAATAATCTACCCAAGTAACCATTAGTCCTGGAGGAGGACAAATATGTTGCTAAAAAAGTTCAACAAGGGTTGAATGAGATAAAACCTAAACGTTTAGGAAGTCTTGCTCGAGCAGTTAATGGACAGCTCAAGGTTTGGAGTGTAAAAAAAAAAGGATGTCAAGCTGGAAATTGCATAGAGTATAAGGCTGCAAGATCAAGTGTCAACTACCATGATCAGTTCCTCCCTACAGTCTAGCTAAAGACTATAAATTAAGCGCTTATTGGGATAACCCAATTTCCTAACCCGTTTATTTGTTTTGCTTTCCGTATTGCATTGCATGTAGTGTTATTCTTGATTTTTAGTTTGCATTAGTCAGAGGCACGTTTCAATTCAGTTTGGAAGTCATCACATCTACACTTTGCCTAGATATGCGAGTGACCTACTGGACCAACAAATAGTAGAAAAATTATTTTGGCACATACTTCAAGTTTTTGGGGACGTTTTCTACTATTTTTTAACTCTTATAATCATGTTCTTTTACCCTTGGCATGTCCTTTGATGTCAAGCGAAAGCAGCTTACTATGAGGTACAATTGACATCACTCGACTAGAACATGCAGTCAAGATTAGGAAATAACAAGCACACGAACTATCTATATTACTCTGATACCAGTTGTTGGAATGCAGAAGTGAAATTATTTAGAAATTAAAATTTTACTTAATTCAATAAACAAGATAAATGTTTATGTTTATGTCATGATAAGAATGAAGGATTCGAATTTGACCTAAATTCGATGATCAATTCTTTGATTAAATCTAAATCACGAACTCCTAGTTTTTTGGATCACGAACTTTCAGCTTTTAATTCCAAGAATTTGATGTTTCAAACCTCAAAGTCTTCTATAGCATTCTCTAAAGTCAAGACTATACTAGTCGGTGGGCATCTTTTAATTAAATCAAGAAACTAATTCTTGAACTGAACAATTGATAAAAGCATGAAAATAATTTTTTACTCATTTTTTTCTTTTCACTCTCCAAATTTGAATATTATGAAATTATGTATTATCATTATTGTACAATTTCGTTAGAATGTCTATGTTCCATCTAATCTCTATTTATAAAGATAAAATATTTCCAATCCTTGTAGAATAATAATTTCACATTCAAATAAGAGTTTTAATTCAAATCTAAGTAGGAGTTTTAATTAAAGTTCAAATCCAATTAGTTTACATTTAATTACTTTGTCGTCCTAGAACTTCAATTACAATTATAATTAAGTTTACAACTTTCATAATAATTACAACTAAGTACAAAACTTTATTGTAATTAAAATTAAGTCGAAAACTATTATAATTATCATAATTAAGTTCTAATACTTTATAGAGCTACCACAGGAACCTGATCGGACATATATTGTCCGAGCTCCAATAATTATATCCTGCCTAGTCGACTCTAGACCATCCAATATAATTATTAGTCTTTTCTTTTTTCATTAAAGGTAAAACACTGAATTCTTAGAATATATAAGATCACAAAAGTCGATAAATCTCTAATACTTTAATCCTTGTCCGAGATCCAATAATTAGATTCGAGCTTAAATGACCGTTTTGTCATTCTAATTATTCTCACTAACTTAAGCATTATTTTCTTCAAAGGTCCTGTGAACTAATCACAGATGTCAACGTTTAGCATCATTCTCTATCTTCTATCCGTTTTTTAGGGTGACGATTCCTGATAAGAATTCATGTTCTCTGCTTCGCTTATTCTCAAATTCTCAACTTATTGAAATATTTGACCAATCAAATTGATCTTGTCGATTGATGAATAAAAAACCATTAAAATCATGAAAAAATACATAAACCTGTCAGGGGATTTAGATGAAAAACACAGCGGTCAAATGAAATTTAATTCTTTGCACTATCATGCTATAAAATTAAATTCAACACATGGTCCATTCAATATACTTCAAGTGTATTAGTGTCACCTTTAACTATTTCTATGATAAAGACAAATCACAAACCTGAATAGTGAATCGATTTACACTACAACCTTCCAGTATAAGGTACCAACCTTTCATATATTGGTTGTGAACAAATTATTTATTATCAAAATATAAGTTGTGTCCTACTGTACTTCTCAATGCAAGTACTCAACTTATATTATCATAAGTGATCATATGCATTTTAATTCGCATAATCAATAATAAATAAATGAAACCACAATTTATTTATTATAAATTTTTATTTTATCATAGCAGAATATATTATACGGGCACACAACCCATCAAACCATATGTTTGAATTGTGGTAATCTAGCAACCATAGCCAAAGTAGAAAATTTCATATATAACGGTAAGTGAAGAGATATATATTAGAGACACAATAACGTTATGGAATATTTTCAATTGATTTTCTTTAGTCAAATGATAACTTAGTGGATCTATTAAGAAAAAGGTCATCCATAGAGTGAATATAATGTGCATCAACGAAAATGAGATTAATACTTAAAGAGTTATTTTAATGGAGACTTAGCCTTGAAATTGGAAATCTCACACTAAGTCAAATAGGAAAAATAACTCAATGAAAAGCACTTATTTGTGGAAATATTGTTCGTAATATGCAAATAAGTAATGCCTATAAAAGTTCTTTGAGGATTAGCGTTCAGCTTAATAGTGAATATATTTTATAAAATTTGAGTGGAATATATTGTAGGAAACTCTAGATAATACATCAAATATGTTTGTACAAGCTAGGCCTACTTTTAAGAGAATTTTATTTGAGGGAAATCTGTAAAGCACTTGCAAAACTGAAGAAACTTCATGGTTGAAATAAGTAAAATCAGGAACTAAGTTTGATAAGAACTATATTGTTTTAAATCTAGTGTCTTGACATAAAGAACTTATTTTAAGTAAATTAGCTACTTACGTAAGGAATGAGTCCAGTTTTATTGGATAAGTTGAGCTTCATTAGTTAATACACGTGATTCACTAAATATAATGATCTTTCTTTCTTTCTTATTTTGTTTTATTTTATTTTATTTTTTTTCCTTGACTCATGTAGATGTATTCTCATCTCAATGTCACCTTCTACACAATTCTCTTTTACACTGGTCCTAACTTTCTACAATTTTTTTTCTGTATAGTGGACGCCCACTATCAATTATCCATAAAACTGTTACTAACTTTCTATAATTTTTTTTTGGTTCACGTTTTATCAATTCTCTCTCTCTGACTACTACACATTTCTGTATACATACAGATATATATATATATATATCTGGTTGATATACATACTAACTAAGCAAAAGAATGGAAGAAAAAGCAACAAAGGCAGTGCTTTGCTTTAACAAATTTCACTTAATTTACTTTTATTCAAATTTTATTACGTGGATCTCTTTAATTTTTTTTTACTTTTTAACAATATATTCTTCAAAAAAATACTATTCAAAACTATTTAAAATGGCCACCAAACAAGGGCTAAATTTCACTTAGGGCTTGTTTGAGCCACATTATTTTAAAAAATATATATATTCTTCAACAGTGATTTGACATCATTTCAACCATACATTCTTCAATAAAATAATATTACACGCAAATCTAAAACTTTTCCTAATTTTTTAACCACATATTTTTCATTGATTTGACATGAATAATCCATTTTTTCCTAGAATGTGGCTCAAACATGGGTTTAATTTACTTTAATTATCAGCCATGATTTAGTGTTCACATTGATGACCGCAGGGTTAATATAATATACACATGGGGTCAGGATTATTTTATTCATGGGGTTCGTGTCCTCACGAGTCATTTGGCATTTTCCTTTAATTATTTTGTTTGTCAGTACTTTGCACGGACATCGATGGAAGATTTATTGGATTTTCCTTCACAGAAGTCTATCAGAATAGAGATAGTGTGTAGGCCCCATGTGTAATAAAAAATGCCAAAAAAATTACCCACCGAACTCACTTGTGTGTTGTCTGTAATGGTTCTATAAGATTCTTTCTATAAGTGAAGCTCTGCCCTTTATCGGATTCTCAATTTTCAATGCTAGGTGGGCCTGAAAATCACCTCAATCACTACTCTGGGGTCCAGAGTACCTATCATTCAGACTATATCAACTCTCCCCATTTGACGTAAAATAAAATAAATAAATAAGTAGGTGTAGTGTGGAGGTTCGATTGTTGAGACATGAAATTGGACTCCTTATAAGTGCAGTGTACAAACAGCTCTTATTCCCTTATTTGTTGGGACATATTTCGTAATTTACCTCTCTCACAAAGATTTATGGGCGGGGCAGTGGGATCCTCAAGGTTGGGGTTCAACCTTTTTTTTTTAATAAATAAATAAGTAAAATATATAAATATATAGGGAAACTGACAGCAAAAAAGAAAAAAATGAAAAAAAGTTAAGGAGAAATAAAATATTCTTTATTTTTTCAAAGGAATACCATGTTTCTGATTTTTACCCTATTCCCAAACTAGTCCTCAATTGAATTGGCCGGTCTATTTTGATTTTCCAAACACTTTTCATCCAACATGATGGTAATAATAGTAAATCACCAGATTTTTCAAGTTATATATTTCCATTAATTTGGCAAATAAAATGCCAGATTTTTCAAGTTAATATTCTGATTAATTGACATCTACTCTCATTTCAATTTCAAAATTAATTGTCTTTTACACTAGTCCCAACTTCCCTGAATAATGGACCCCCTACTCTCATTTCAACTTCAAAATTAAGTCTCTCGATCACTGGTCCTAAATTTCTACAAATTATTATTATTTTTTTTACATACACGTTTCTATCAACTCTCTCTTTTGTCTTATTACCACATTTTTCTCTACATATACAGATATATGTCTGGATAGGATATATAATAATTAAGCAAAACAAATGGGAGATAACCAAAAACGGCATCTTGTTCTCGTACATGGTATATGCCATGGAGCTTGGTGCTGGTACAAGCTACAGACACTGCTGGAGGACGCCGGTTACCGTGTCTCAAATCTTGATATGTCAGCCTCTGGCATTGACCCGAAAAGCCTAGCTGACCTTAGCACATTTCCTGAATATACAGACCCGTTACTTAACTTTATGGAGTCGATTCCATCAGTTGAAACTGTAGTTCTAATCGGACATAGTCTTGCTGGCATGAACTTGGCTTTTGCAATGGAGAAATACCCTAAAAAGGTTTCTTTGGCAATTTTTATTGCGGCTATAATGCCTGACGCTATAAATAAGCCATCCTTTGTTTTGGAAGAGGTAAAATTATGTATACTCGTAGGAATAGCTTATTATCCTAGAGTTAGATTATTTTAATGAATTTCACTTAACTTACTTTAATTAACTTGGTTGGCAGTACTTCTCACGGATCCCGCCGGGAGCTTTTATGGACTCTCATTTCCCACCATTTGGCCGCCCCGAAAATAAGCTGATGGCAATAAACTTTGGTCCGCAATACATGGAAGCCACAATATATTCACGCTCCCCACCTGAGGTAAAAATATATAGAGTGGACCAAATGGTAAAAAAAATTTTAAAAATGAAAAAAGTTAAGGGAAACTAGAAAGACTCTTTATTTTTTAAACGAATACCATTTTTATTATTTTTACCCTATACAACTTCCCGATCGAATTGACCAGTCTTTTTATTTTTTTTTTTTTAAAGTTTCAATTTTCGAGACATTACTTTTTATCCAACATGATGATAATGACAGTCCACTACCAGATTTTTCAATTTGACATTTACATTAACTTAGCAAATAGAATGCCTGAAATATAAAAAAGAAACAGAAAATAAAATTTTAATGACTGAATTAGCCAAGTAAAATTAAATTGAGTGGTCGAAATGAAACACTGCTATAAACTGACTAACTAGTTTTTTTAATTCATTATGGTAGGATCGTACTTTAGCAAATAATTTAGTGAGGCCAGGCTGTTTCTTTATGGAAGATTTGTCAAAAAGGAAGCCGTTTTCCAACGACAAGTATGGATCCGTAAAGCGTGCTTTTATTATAGCTGGTGCAACTGATGCCGAACACAAATTCTATCGCTGGGAAATTGAAAATTTTGAAGTGCCAATAGTGAAAGAGATGGACAAGGAAACTACTGATCACATGGCAATGATTTCAAATCCTAAAACTCTTTGCCGATATATATTGGATATTGTGGAAAATAAACCAAATTAATGATCACTGATGAATTCAAGAATCATTTGTTGTCTACTAGTATTTCAATAATTGACTGAGTAATTTAAGGAGTCTTCTTGGATATGTAATAGCCACGTTTATTTTGATGCATTTCCCTGTATCCTCTAGTATGTTTGGAATGTAATCTGCAATAAGTTTTTTAGGCAATAAGAAGTAATTTTCAGATTATATTTCTCCAAATTATCGCCTTCAAACCGGGATTAGAGCATTCAAACATTATAGAAATTGTTTATAGAATACTGCAACAGCAACATTACTTGGAAAAGAAAATCATGGCAAATCCAAGTAATCTGGTGTCTCTTATTCCTCGTTTCAAAGGGGGAAGATTATGACTATTTAAGTCACAATATGAAAGTGTTATTGAAATCTATGAAGCTCTGGAATATTGTTGATGAAGGTTTTGAAGATCTAGAGACTGAAGATGGAATGACTCAAGTACAAAGAAATGCTGTTAATGAAAAGCGAGAGAAGACAGTAAAGCCCTTTTCCAGATTTACTAGGCAATTGAAATACCGGCGTTTGAACAAATTACAAAAGCTGAAAATTCAAACAAGCTTGGGAAGTTTTGCAGACAGCACACCTGAAAGCCCAAGAACGACAAACCAAGCGGGAGTGAATTGGTTATCTAAATCCTTTTTGAAAATAAATGCAAGTTTAAGCAATTAAAGTAATTAAGTAGGGAAGATAACACAAGAAAAATAATAAGTAGAAGGGAAAAGAAGGCGCAAATGATGTGTTATAGAGGTTCGATTAAACCAACAATTTACGTTCCTCGTTACCAAGCTCTCCGTCATAAGCGAAACCTTTTTCACTATAATTGATTGACTTATAGTGCAATCTAACCCTTACAATGCTTCTGATGACTTACAATCAAGGAGCACCAATCCTTCTATAACGTTAAGCTTTCCGGGACAACACGACCCACAATCCAAAACAAGAAAAACAAAAATTACAATTAAAAGCTTCTATCTTAATAAATGATATGAACACAAGTATCAAGAGAGAAGTAGGTATAACACTTTAATAAATTTTAAAGAATATAGCTCAATTGTTTGTTGAAAAACTCTAATTTTACAAGTTTTGATCACTCAAAAAGTTTTTCAAGAATTAAATGTTTTGATCTTTTAAAGATTGAAAACTAAGGTAGAAAAGATCAATAAATACCTTTCTTAAATCCTTCAAAAATTGTTATTCTAAATGTGTAAGAAGAGGTAGTATTTATAGCTCTCAAACGGCAAAAAATCTATCAATCCGGACACAGAATCTAGATATCCACTTGGGGTCCGGACGGGTAACTAGCCGTTTGAAAAACAATAAAAAAAAAAATCAACCATTACAAGCCATCTGGATGTCCGGATGGGCAGCTACATGCCCTTTCGAACTTTTTCCTTCGTAATGAAATTTTGATGTAGGTACTTGAAGGATTTTTTTATTTATAGTGTATAGATAAGTATTTTAAATATTTTATCTTGAAAATCGAAATACTTATCTTTTGAAAATAATTTTTATGCTAGTATTGTTTGTCGTGAAAGTGTTTCGTGCATAAAAATTGTTTGAGCTATACTCGATGCTAAATATTAAAGTGTTTTACCTTTACATTTGAGTTTAAAAAAAATGCATCTATAACTAAAGTCTTCAATCTCTTCTCCAATGTGATTTTTTGACGCGAAGCTCGATTTTCATCTTTGGATTCGTCGATCGCCAAATTTCTTTTTATATTGATCGTCAATCTCCAAAAATGGTCATCCATATACTTGATTCTTGATCTCGATTCTTGTGTCTTCATTCTTCATTAATTTCGCAATAATCACTATGAACACTTAAATTAAAGTTAAAATTAAACAAAATTTGTATGTGATAATCAAAACGAGAAGTCAACTATAAGGTGAAAAACACCTTGGCGAAGAGAGAGTAAAAAAGGTATGCTTATAATCCTTGAGATTAGAGTTTGAGAAATCGAAAATGAAAGAAAAAGTATTTCTGATTACTTCACAAGGGTTACCATAATTATAAATCAAATTGCATTCAGTGTTTTACATCACAAGGGTTTACCATCAAGGTTTGATTTCACTGCTACCACAATTGAGGAATTTAAAGACTTGGAGACACTTTCATTAGATGATTTACTTGCATCATTACAATATCCTGAATTGCGAGTAAAGCATAGGAATCCTTAACTACCCGATCAAGCACTCAAATCTCAAATTTCGGGAGGTTTTAATTCTAATACTTTTAGAGGAAGAGGACGATATGGAGTTCGAGGAAGAGGCCACCATTCTTGCAGAAGAAGAAGAGGATTTCAAAGTGGTGGAGAGTTCAAAAAAGAAGTAAAGGATGATCCCACAAGCAACATTCAAAGAAGTTGAGGTCGAGTATATCAACAAAGAGGTAGAAAAGAATTCCCTAAATGCTATTATTGTCATAAAACTAATCAATGAAGTAGTGATTGCTGGTAAAAGGGAAAGGAATATGTTGAATGCTATCATTGTCACAAACTTGGCCATAAAAGTAATGAGTGTTGGAATAAGAAAATTATGGATAAAGCAGAAACTAGGTTCATTCATAAAAATGACAGTGATGAGAAGTACACTTCTGAATATTTGTTATTAACATGTGAAAATAATCAGAATGATGATGTTTGGTTTCTGGATAGTGATGCTAGTAAGCATATGACTGGAAATAAAAACTTGTTTTCTAATCTGGTGGAATTAGAATTAGGACAAGTTGGTGATGCTAGAGCTTTTGCAATTAAATGGATTGGAGATATAACAGTTGAAACTAAGACGGGAAAGCTTGAAAACATGTGTCATGTTTATTATGTTCCTGGTTTGCGAAGCAATCTATTAAGTGCTGGTCACCTTTTAAGAAAGGTATTTTAGACCAATTTGCATGATAAATTGTGCTTTTTGACCAGAGAAAATTAGATTGTCAAAAAGATCTCATTGGTATCAAATAATTTATTTCCTATTCAGCTAAAAGTTACTAATGTTGTTTCTCATTACACTAGCACAAATGGAGAAATTTCGAAACTAAGGCATGACAGGCATGGTCATTTAAATTACTGAGCTTTGAAACTGTTATTAGAAAGGAAAATGGTGAAGGGTCTTCCTTAGATTGATCAACTGAATGAAGTTTGTGAGGGCTACCAACTTGGAAAGCAACATGGAAGTCCATTTCTACACAAGTCATCTTAGAGAGCCAAACAACCATTACAACTTATCCATTCAGACTTGTGCGGACCACTTCCAGTTTTATCTCTTAAAGGAAGCAAATATTTCATCGTTTTCGTTGACGACTTTAGTAGAAAAGTTTGGACATATTTTCTTAAGGAAAAATAAGATTGCTTTCAAGCTTTCAAAGATTTTAAAGCTGAAGGTGAGAAGTTTTCTGGATTTTCTATTAAGACATTAAGAACTGGTCATGGGACTGAATATCTTTCAAGTGACTTTGAAAATTTGTGCAGAAATCTCAAAATAAGACATGAATTGATTGTACGGTATTCACCACAACAGAATGGAACTTGTGAAAGAAAAAATCAAACTATTATAGAAATGGAAAGATGCATGCTGCTAAGAAAGCAACTACCATGAGAACTTTGGGCAGAGACGGTTGCTTGGGCACTATATTTGATCAACAGCACACCCTCAAAAAGTTTGAATAACATGACTCCACATGAAGATTGGTATGGTTCAAAACCAACAGTTTCACACCTAAAGATCTTCAGTAGTCATGCTTTTGCCTATATATTGGATGCTATAAGGAATAAATTGGATTATAAAGCTTAGAAATGCATTTTTGTTGGATATAGTGAAAGGTCTAAAGGTTGTGAATTACACAATCCATTGATGAAGAAAATTGTGATAAGTCCGGATGTGATGTTCGATGAAAATGCAATCCTTGAAGGTAACAAGAGCAATCAATCAATAATATTTCAAAAAGGAGATAATACCTCAAATGAAAATTGTGACAATTCTTCAAGTTGTGGATCCCTTTCATCTCCAAGTTCTTCTAGAGGAGAAGAATCCGATGAAGAGTCACCAAGAACAAAAATGAGAAGATTGCAAGAAATTTGAGTCTAGAGATCCTAATCATGAAGAAGATGTTATTTTGTTTGCATTTTATGCAGGTGAGGATCCAATTTTATATGATGCAGCAATAAAAAGAAGAAAAATTGTGAAAGGTCATGAAGGAAGAAATTGATGCCATTGAAAAGAACAATATGTCGGAGCTTAAAAATATGCCACCAAACAAAAAGCTTATAGGAATAAAGTGGGTGTTCAAAACTAAACTCAATCCTGACAATTCAGTCAACAAACACAAAGTTCGGCTTGTAGCAAAGGGGTATGTGCAAGAAAAGGGGAAGGCTACAATGATATATTCACCCTAGTTCTATATTTGATACTATTCAGCTTATAATTTCTCTAGCTGCTCAAAATAGTTGGAAGCTCTTGCAAATGGATGTTAAATTTTCATTTTTAAATGGTTTTATTGAAAAAGAGATTTATGTCGAACAACCATCAGGTTTTGTGAAGGAGGGAGAAGCGCATAAAGTTTACAAGTTGAAAAGGGCCTTATACGGTTTAAAACAATCGCCAAGGGCTTAGTATAGTAGAATTAATGCATTTTTTTGAAACAAATGATTTTCATAGAAGTCCACATGAACATACTCTCTCTATCAAAAATGGTTCTGATGGAAGTTTCATTATAGTGAATCTTTATGTTGATGATTTTCTCTTCATTGGAAATAACCTGGCTATGTGGGACAAATTTAGAGACTTGCTGATGAAAGAGTTTGATATGACTGATTTGGGAACATTACTTAATTTTTTGGGTATTGACGTATACCAATCAAACAGTGGAAATTTTATCACTCAAGAGCTATATGCTAGAGAGAATCTAAAAAGGTTTAAGATGGAATTTGCAAATCTTGTTTCAACTCCGTGCATTTCAGGCTAGAAACTCCTAAAAGAAGGAGAAGGAAAACTTGTTAATGTTCAGGAGCTTAGTGGGAAATCTGATGTACCTTACAGCCACAAGACTTGATATCATGTTTGCTATGAGTTTAATAAGTAGGTTCATGAAAGCACCATATTCAGAACATTGGGAAGCTGCTAAAAGAATTTTACGTTATGTGAAGGGGACAATTGATTATGGCATTTTC